CAACAATTAAAATTTATGTTCATTACGTAGCAAAACCATTTAGTAATTGTGACCCAAACATTTACTTGGTAATTTTATAAATATTTTTTAAATGATTAAAAATAAAATTACAGAATTTATTACTGGCAGTACTAGTGTGAAGTTCCGTTAGAGGGCAATGTATTATTGCAATCAGGAAACAAATAAAACGAGTAAGAATACTAAAGATTTTTATTCTCAAACACTGGTTCTTTGAAATGATTGCAACATACAGCCTATTGGGTTCGATATACATAAGATAATTGTCTACACTAACAATCTTCTGTGGTGGCAACTGACACGTGACAACGGAAACAAAACACGTGGGGGCAACTTATAACTAAAACTTAACCTACTTACAAACTAAGGAAGGAGAGATAAAATATAGATAAGGATAGGAGTAGAATAAAAGGGAAAATACCCGGGATTTTTCTCTACCACATGGTCTCGGGTGATTCACCATCTTCTATCTTTGAATGGCTCCAGACCTTAATTTCCTTCCTTTTATGAACATTTATGTTTTCTGGGGTTGTCTTGTGGTCTTCCTGCTTGTTGTTACTTGAATCTGGGGAAACTCAATTTCTTAGCAACGGTCCTACGTTTCTCTATAATTCAGCTGTCTCTTACAAGGTTCCGACACCTCTGATCTCTCTCTAGGTGATCAAGGTGTGATCCTTCTTCGGCCTTCTTTCGCAAGGTTCTTTTCTCACTCCTTGCTCGACTCCTCGGTCAGGACCGCACTCGTTTCTCCGTCCTCTCTCGACGAAGTCCCAGTTTCTTCTCTTTCTTCCACTTCCTCTCTCCCTAGGGACTTGTTGTTCCTTTTGTCTCATGACATTGTTTCAGAGAATCGGTGATGTCACCCGAGGGAATAGGGATTAAGGGAGAAAGTTCTAGAACAGATAAGACAAAAGAACAAAGGAAATACTAAGCCTAGCTAAAGTTAACAAAAATATATATATAAACTTTGGCCAATGGCCACACTAGTTGTCAAATCTAAAAGAAAACATTCCTGAGTGCAATAAAACAATTTGTTAGTCATTTGACCCACATCTGACAGAGAAAGGAGTTTATGAAAACAAAGCAATAAAACGATTAGCAGTTTGTTGTCCTTCACAGTGGGGAACCCACAGAGTCTATTACTTTCACGGGAGAAAATATACAAAGCTTTACTACCCTGAAGTTGAAAAATAATACAATCTAGTGAAATTTAACAAAACTGATGTCAATAAGTAAATGATGAAATTATTTATAGAGAGTTGATATTTGATAAGTTTAGTTTTTTGCATTTACAGATCAAATTACAGAAAATATAAATAAAAATCTTATTTTTTAAAAATTAAAATCATAAAATTTCGCTTACAAATGGTTGAGATGCAATGCACGCTTTTTATTTTTATAATTGCTTTGTTTTATTCAGACACAGATATTATTCCAATACAGATTTATTAATTATAATAAACATACATTATATGTAAAATTACATTAAAATAACACACACTAATTAACATCTAAAATGAAAAGGTAATTGAATTGAGTCCCGCTGCCATATTAATTAACGCACCACAGAAATTAATCGATTCTGAGCACATCCTGTTGCATCAAATTAAATAATTTATAAAAATTAAAATAATAAATATGTTTATAAAATCTATATCTGTTCGCAATAATATTGTAAAACACACTGTACTTATAGTTTAACATTTCCAATAATATTTAATTTATTTTTGAATTTTAAAATCTAATAAAAACATATTTTTTAAATTAAGTTTCATTGCAACTTCAGATAATACAAAGATATAAGAATCCATCAAAAAACGTTAATTAATAATAATTAAAATTGAAAACATAATAAAACTTTCAAGGTAAGGAAATTTCTGTCTTATAAAATCAGGCATGCAATCACCTAACATCCTTCTCCCCACTTTGTGTAACCAAAGTGGTTGAATTGAAATAAAAGCCTAAACTCCAGTAGAAGTAAAAACAAACATCGACACGTGTCTAAGAAAATAAATTTGAATGGAAGTGAAGATGAAATATGACACCATGTAATTTATGCTAATTACCTTCTAGTATTAAAAACTTAAAATCTTCAATAAATTATAATTCAATTAAATATTTTTTTGACTGAGTTCGACTAGAAACATCAAAAAGCTAGATTAAAGTGAAAATAGCAGTTTTTCGATGCTAAATATTTACAAATTAATTTTTTAATTTGGTGCCGGATTGACTGTGGGTGTGCAATTTATATTCGAATGAGCACACGCGTGACAGGTTTTAACTGGTTGGAACCAAATACTTCATAGCATTTATTTATATGTTTCTCATAACTTGAATGTTGGAAGATTGCATGGAAACCTTTACTAGATACACTGATATTGGAAGCACACAACATGCAGAAAAGCTCCAAGTCAGGCAACCTACATCTCCAAGATGACACCACAAAACCATTTGAGTTAGTTTTAAGAAGTCAGCCCTCCCTAAGCATGCACTTTGCCTTGCTCATGGTTTACTTTAGGTTATAGTTTCTGTTGAAATGAAAAATGAAGAACACTGTTAGAAATCAGAAAACCATGGTGAATGCCAAATATATAAGCACCCACTTAAGTCTCTTAAGGATCGTTTCCCGGATAGGGATCTCTTTCCCTGCCCCGCCAGATTGGCACCACAGGGTTGAGAGACTATGTCTTTCCTTCGTCATTGACTTGTGGCGATTCTGCCGCTAAAACCTTAAATGACAAAGCTTTGGGCCCTGTTGAACGTCTGGTTTCCCGTCCGCGGAACTAGGCCCTAGCTTGCTAACGTGACATAGCTTTTTAGGGTGTGCAGCTGACACTGCACTTTATTCCACTGACTAATTAAGAGATCGTTTATTCTTTAGGTATATTTCAGACAGCGGGGTCCCCTTCCCTACAAGTAAGTGGGAACCCAACCCAGTGCATCCACTAGGCATTCAGATCATAAGTTTATGATCGTTTCCATCAATTCCTTTAGTTTCATCAAGTTTCCTTTACTAGCTGCTAGTGTTCGAAGTACTTGTTCAGGCGGCCGAGACCAGTCGACTTTTGTCTTTGTCGAAAGATTGTCGCTACAGAAGTTATTAATATTTAGAATACTAGTTTAAAATCTTGTACTTTCTGGCACAAGGTTTGCTCAATCTTTAATTTGAGTTCTAGAAAGATACAAGCTTTTAAATGAGTGTCCAACAACATTTTATTTAATAACAACAGTAGAAATCATTTATTATCACTCAACAATTATTATTTTCAGTTTTTCTACAGTAGTCAAGAACACGTGATGTCATAGTTTAAGCTAAAGAAGAATAGTAGAAAGACTGTTGGGAAGGGAAAGTTTGCTTAGCAACTTACTTCAGAAACTGTTGGATTCTATACGATTTTCCATTGCTAAAACACGATTTTCTACTGTTAGTATTAAATAACATCTATTTCTTTCTTTTGTCCACTATGCTTATATAAATGCTAAAAATAATGCCATACAAAAATCACTCTTATTGCTGAACTTTAGGTGTACTTACACCTTAGTGCAGTGTGATCAGTGCCATCTTTAGGGCATGGCTCCTAGACCATAGGGCCCCCTAATCAGAAAGTAATAAAGTTACAAATAAAAAATAGGTTAACTGAAATAAACAAATTATTAAAAATATCAAATGCTTTATTTCTGCTATACATAGTTTAAAATGATCTTACAACTAAGCAAAAAAAGTTCGATTAAAATTAAAAACTCAATGATTAATATATTAACTTAATTTTTAAAATAATAATTTTTGTTATTCTTAGAGTAAGAAATCTTAAAAAATTTTCGAACCTTCTTATTCACCACACCTCAACCGAAAATGGTACTTTCTTCTTGCTGCGCAGAAAGAAAATTCCACTTCCTGGCTGAGGGAAGTGAAAAATTGTATATACTCCATGGGAGGAAACAAATAATGCATCTCTAAGTCTGTAGTATACTATTGTATCAAAGCGCTGCAGAGATCTATTTGACAACGATACAAGCAAGGAGAATCCATGTGCAGAGTAGCAAGCCTTGGGAAGCTCCTTGTTATGTTAGCCTATATACATGTATGTATGTAGACGACAGTGCCTTATTATGTCGTGCACAGTCACACGATAAGGTGTATGGGGCGTGCTGGTCGATATTTTGTTCCTGACCACATTTACGAAAAAAAAACTTTCACATGGGAAGTGAAAAAAGTGAGTTTCCCTCAGAGAAAGCTAAAAAAGAGGAGCTATGATAAAAGCGAATCACTTTAAGCCCTGCTGTAGTTATCTCTTAAGTATCATTCAAGCCTACCACAACTTGCAGAGAGATGCAAATAATACATTTTGGAAATTATATTCTGCTAAGTCTAACAATTTACAAGATGTGTTGCCTAATATTTCAAAACTGGAGAAAGAACATTTACTTTAATATTTCTGACCTGTATGCACTAAGAATGCCTTTTACAAACCCATAATCTGTTCATTCATCATAATAAAGCTGGACTACTCACAAAAATGTGAAATCCCGACCAGGACACCAGGACAGAGTCTGAATCCTTTAGAAAGGGAGGCACATACTTATGATTAGATAGCTGAAGTGTGGCTAAGTTGTAATATATATANTAAAAGAATTTCAAACAAAACTCTACTAATAATTTAAAATAACCAAATAATAATTGAATAATAAAAGTTATTTAAATATTTTTAGTAGTAATAGATAATTTTAAAAGAATGAATGCTGAAATAATAATAAAAAAATGTTAATAAATATTTGCAAAAAATAAAATAATAAAGTAATAATAGAGGTTAATATGGTTAAAAATAAGACTTTTTTGCAATTTTTTTGTTTTAATCTCTTTACAGATATACCTTTTTATCCCATTTAATAGTATATATTTTAATGTACTTAATTTTTATTTTTTACTTAACAAAAACCAAAATTTATCTATAAAATATTTCATTGAAATCACATAAACTTACTTTGCCATTTGTTCCCACTCTTTCTGCAATTTTTCCCAGAAGTTTTCTTCTTCTTCTTCGTCTTCTTTTCTTTTCGAAGTACCGGTTGAATCATTTTCAACAAATTCCTGACCCCAGGTGCTGGCTAAATTTGATGAATCCGTACCGAGAACCTGATGAGACAATAAAAATCTATATTAAAATTAAACAAAACAATTTTCAATTTTTATAAAAATATAATTATAATATTCATATATTCATAATTTATTTTAGAGGTATCAATTGATCTTTGCAATGATTTAAAAAATGGTGGAGTAATATATGACAATTTATGACGAAAAGTTTATTATAATACTTTTGTAAGATGTGGGGTCTCCAGTAAACCATCTCATGTGAATGATGACCATTATTAATCTGAAAAATCTGCAAGGTCTTTCAGTCAGGAACACAACACCACTTATTCAGTTCTGTGGACTAAGATGCAAATGAAAGTATAAAATATGCTTCTGGAATTCATAGGCGGGTCTAATTTAATGTGAGTAAGACAATGGAGTTAGGCATAAAGGAATCAAACAAGATAATAAAAGATATATTTATTTGGCAAGATTGACTATATTTATATACAAAAAAAGGATTAAATTCGGAAATAATATAAAATAAACATATCAAGGGAACAAACTTCTAATTATAAATGATCTTTAAAAAGAAGTAAGTTTGAATGAAAACCCATTAACTAATTCATTCATTTTGTAGAGAGAGAGAGAGTTTACATAATATATATTACCTACATGCATTCATTTATTGGAGAGAGGTGAGCTGATTCTTGAGGAGAGCACATGGAACATTCTTAAAGTCGGAACTTGCATCGAAAAAGATCAAGTGAGCTGACTTAGTTTAAGTTGATTAAACTACACTGAACTCAGTGGCTTAACCTGACTAACTTAGCTTAGCTTAGTTGAACTGATATTTAGAGGTGACCTATCACTTTTTATGTGAGATGCAAACCATCCCTGTGATTAATTAAAAATTTAATAAAAAAAAGTAAAATTTTAGACAAAAATATTCGTTGATTTTAGTAGGAAAATTATATTTTCTAAAACAAAGGAAACTGGTAAAAGTCACTTCCTTCAACAGAAGTTGAAACATCCTTTTGTTTATCCCTTATCTCATAAAATTTTAGTCACCCTGGGAACTGTCAACCCCTCAGTAAAACCCCCTTTGCCTGTTCACGTGGAAAAATACAAATTGATGATTGGTGAAAATTCGTGAGAAAGGAAAAGAATCTAGCATCATTCGAGAGCACGCCAGAAGATCCAAAAGAGGACAGACATATTCCACATAATCTTCCTCCGGCCAACGTCCATAACCGATTCCCGAAGTCTCCTAAATGAAGTTGGTAAAACTAGAAAAGAAATTGTTTAAATTTGTGCCATTCAAGAACTAACGAAGAAGATACAGTCTTATTAATCTGAAAGACAGAAGAAGATAAAGATATTAGAGATAGTATGAATTTGATAGAATTTGTGAGCTCTCTCTCTCGAAATAGCTTTATTCGAAGAATCAATACTGTATAATCTTGTTTATTTTGTTCATTAAATCTTTGTTTTATTTGTTACAAAGAATGTCTCTCAAGTATCCGAATCAAAATGGGAAGTTCATGTCCAGACAATATCAGTATGCGTGTTAATCCGCATAAACAAAACTGATTAACTGGTGTCATTATCCTGACATTGGATAGAGACTTTGTAGTCTATATCTTATTTTACTTACAACAAGCCCTCCTAGAAAAAGTCTTAGTGAGCCAATCTTGCGATTGCCAGTCAGTAAGTGACATAGATCAAAATTCTATGCCCTTGATCCTCACATTTTATATAAAAATTTCCTCCAATCAGACTATTCAAAATAAGCCCTCCGCACTTCTGCTGTGTGACAGAAGTTGGGTGGTTTACAAATAGTGTGTGAGAAATCCCACACTAAACTATCACCTTTGGAGGAACTGTCATTTTCCTCCATGTAAACAGGAAGTTCCACTTCATATAATTTTTACAACAGATAAAATTTTTTATCAAAAATTTGTTATTTAATTTAACAATTTAAATTAATTAATTAAGTGATGATAAAATATAGTTAAGTATACTAGAAAACTGATTTTACACAAGAACATAATTCATCAATCACAGGGAAACTGCAACCAATTACTTGAAAGAAAATAGTTTAAAATAATGAATTATGGGAAATAAACTTTTCAGATTCAAATTAAAAAATATATTTCATAAAATTACTGTAAAATCATTTTGCTTTTGCAAATTGTGAAATACAGAGTGAGAATATCTCCTTACTGAAAAGCAGCTTTTATTATAATAATAAAACTAGCAGACAACCTGTGTACCTGAAGGTAAAGCATTAAACAGGATTTAAAGTTAATTTAGAATTAAAAACTGAAATTTATGTCTATCAAAGGTTACTTTTAGTCTAGATTACATGAATATATTTCAAGTAATCCAGACTACAAGCAACAATACAGACTACCTAACACCAACTACAAAAACAAATTACAAAAATCAATAGAATCCTTTTCCAACTTTTTCTAGCAAAGTCCTACTGGCTAACAGTTTAGTAAACTGGAAACAAAATTGTTATAACATGTAAAAACTGGATAAATAAAAATAAAATTTTAAAAATATATTCAACAATTAATTCTGAATTAATTATACCAATGTTTTGATCTCCACAAATGTTTTTTAGAATCATATTATTATAATTAAACTGACCAAACTACGTACAACAATGAAAAAAATAATACTAATTTAAGTAATTTAAAAAGACTAATTGTATATTTAATATTTACGGTGTAATATTAAAAGAAAAATATTGAATAACTAATAAATATTTGCAGTGTTTTCAGAAATTTGTATAAAAAATGGAGGGATTGTAAAAAGGTTAAATTTAAATCAAAAACTTTAGTGCCATTTTTTAATTTGAAGCATTCTTTGAGTTATAAGCCATTAAAGAATTATGATGTCATTTTCAGTTTAGCAAAAAACAACATCTGATGTATGAAAATATTGACAGATATTTTCATAAGGCAGACATTGATAAGATTACAATGAGTAACACCTCATTATAAACATCGACAATATTCAAATTAGCTTTAGAAATTTATTATTTGTAAGTTGTTTATTATAAAGGACAGAAATTATGGCACAACTATGTGTTTATATATATAAATATAAATCAGTTTACATTTTTCTGGTTGAATTCTTCTGACCAGATGTCCGCTTTCTTTGCTGCTGCCGATATGTCGGCATTTTCGGACGAAGTTGCACTTCCTTCTCCCAGTTTTCTTATAAACTTTAAAAACTGCAATATAAAGAAACTGTTGTAAGAATAAAATTTCATAAAAATTAGTTAAGAAATATATTAGTAACACTTGAATTGTTTTAAATTATATTATATAGTAGACTCTTGATAAGTCAAACTTCCTTAACTCAAATAGTAGTTTTTATCCCAATTCAACTTCCACAGACTCAATGCATTCAATTTCTATAAAGTCAACATAGTTTTGAGATTACAACATAATTTAACAATTAGTCTAAATCAACAAGACACACATATATATACATATGGGCTTATCACACCAATGAATGAGATTAAATTAATTAACAAATTCTTTAATGATTATTAACACCTTGGTAATTAAAATTTACAATAAACTGTGGCTTCTTTAACATGTACATAATATAGAACACTCAAAATACATTCCAGACATAATAAACCGTCCCTCTTCACTTGGTGTTCATACAAAAAAAATTATAAAAATAAATTATAAATACATTTGAAAGGCTGTTGTAAACATGACAACTTCACATTCATCACAGCTGATGTTTCATGAATGTAATAGTTTCACAATCATCACTTCTTAGCCTTGGAACAATTGGTTAGACTGACTGGAATATCTTACGACAACACTGAAACACTACATTAATGCTGCACACTCTGTTAAATAGTTTTAAGGGCTAAAAGTGATATATTATTCCATTACAATATAAATAAATTCACACCTTAAAAATTACTTCAGCAGTTATTTTTAACAACAAATAATCTCCATTGACTGGATCAAAAACATTATTGTTTCTTAAAAATACCTGATGAAATACCTAATTTTTAATTGAGTTCATTTATTTTTAACTTCTTCCTCCAGTTCCTGTTTTAATACTGTTTTGATATTACAGTTTACTAACTCAAATTTAAGAATCCAAAGACTATTTCATGTCTAATTTTGCATGCTTTCTTTTGCATTTTCAAAGGGATGAACAATATTATCAAAAAGTTGAATACTGTCTGTAATTATGGCTTCCAACATGACATAAAACTCAAAATTTCAATAAGTAAAGTTTGAATTGCTTGCTAAAATTTTCATTGACAATAGTAATCAGTTATTCAGTGTACTGCCATTTTCATGGCAACTGAAAATTTTGTTGACAGCAGAAAAGATATTCTCCAAAAGATCAGAAAAAAGCAAAAAGTAATAATCAAAAATTGTGAAAGATTTGACAATCCATTAAGTATTATCTCTGAAAAATAAGGAAAAAATTTTGGAAAAATTCAATGAACAGCAGAACCAAACAGAACAGAAAATTCATTTTCTGTTCTGTTTCGAAAATTAATCATGAGAGTTTAGCATTGCAGCTTGCACTCAAGGATTAACGAAGTCCCACAGAGAAGCATTGCAAAATTGCTTTACAAAAATAGGTTTTGGTCAACAATATGTTTGGTCATAACATAATATTTGGTCAACAAAATCAACATTTCCATCAGAACGAATGGTAAAAAAGTATCATTTGAAAACTTTGTCAACATTGACAATGACCTACATCTGCAGACATTTATCCAAAGACAATGACATTGCCAAAGCAAGAAATGAATATCAAAGACAATGAAGAAATAAATTCTGCTGAAGTAAAATGTCTTATGTATTTGTTTTGATGAAGATGATTTACACAAACAAAACTGTAACCAAAATAACACAAAGTAATTAAAATAACAAAGAATAACTCTTAAATTTAATAAAAACAAACATTTGTATGGAAATAATATCAAATGTTGGTTTTCTATTAGCTGAGAACCCAAAAATTCAAAAAATGTTTGACTGGAGGACAAATTTCATTTCAATATAAACTTTTTTTTTTATTATATATTAAAAACTTGGTAGTAGTAACAAAATTCATACTTCTGAATCTGAAAACTTTGGATCATCTATGGTGCCCAACAGTTCGTTTGCAGCCTTTGCCAGATCTCTATCTTCCGATGTATATTCTTCATTCCATTTGGTTATGTTGTCCTTGGAAACGGCAAGCTTGTTCTCTCTGTCAAAAAAGAAACGTTTCTCATTTTGTTTTCTTTCTTTATACATATATAAAAGGTCAATTAGAATGTTGTTGTCACACAGGAAGAAAAACACATTAAAAAAAAAATGTACAAAAAAAATGCCTGTAAGTGGTATTAGGGTAAGAATAAAAAAAAAACACAACCTTTTTTAACTGGTAGTTCAAAAACAACTTTCAAAAGATGTGTAACAAAATTGTGTTCTGACATTAAGTCTGTGTAAAAATGTGCAAAAATATCAGGAAAAACAATGAAAAAAGATCAAGACTCTCCAAGTTTCGACTCTAATCCTCTGTGAAACAGACCATTGAAAATATGGCAAAAGTTTTCAGTGTAATTAAACAATCTGAATGCACTGTCAGAAATTGGCTTGCTCAGTTCAAGTCTGACAACTACAGCACCGAAGACAGGCTGTGCTCTGCATGACCATGGGAGATCGGTGATCTGGTGAGGCAGCCGGTTACTGAGGATTCCCAAATAGCACAGAAGAATTTTGAACTGGACTTTGCTCGGTCAATAGTCTGTGAGCCACCTAAGTTGTTAGGCCTCAAGTACACAAAGAGAAAATGGGTGCTGCATGTCATGACCAAACAGAACAAGATAACTGTATAATTACTGTAATCAAAAATGCTAATAATACTCCAAGAAACTACTATTAATAACTGAAAATACACCGGAAAAAGTCAAAAAGTGAATTTGAAATGCTAACACATTTATTAACAACAACATAATGCTATATTAAGGATGGATTCTTCCTCTAGTTTTCAATTTAGTCAGCATCGCCTCAGTTTAAACATGTCTTGGCAAACTACAAATTTTCAAAAGCTTATTTCCAATCTTGCAGAATCTGTCTTAAGCTTTCTTCTCCATGCTTAAGAAAGATTCTGCATGACTGGAAAAGAAAAATCACATGCAAGGTCTATAGGGTGCTTATTATTCCAGTCAAATTCTCAAAGATTGGACAACTTCTCAGGTGCTACATCACCATATATTGTCAAATACAACATAATATTAATTTCATAAAATTTTTATTTAAATTAATTAAATATTTTAAAACACCATTTTGAAGAATTTTTAAACAAACAGTCAGACTATAAATTGCATTAAATACTTTCTCACATAATTAATACCATGAAGTAAATAATGAAAAAAGAATAAATGGTAGTCTTGAAGTGTTAAAAATAATAAATTAAAACTTTACAATTTGGTGGTAATTATTTATTAGTGAATACTTTTGGCAAGACAACTTATCATCAAGTTAACAAACAAAATAACATGCCTCATAAAGAATAACTTTTAAGATAAGTTATTCTTTATGAAAAAATGCCAGATTGTAAAATTTTTGTTTAACTTATTTAACTCCTCAAGATAAAATAGATTTTCAAAAATAAATAAAAGTTATTTTTACTCTTGATAAGTATCAGTTGGCGGTAAATATTCTTCTGCCCATTTTGTATCAGTAATAATGTCGGGGTTAGCTAATAAGGGATTCTCTGAAAAAAACTGTTCGTTCCAGTCCGTAACAGATGACTCCTGCAGATTGCACTCGTTTGCTAAATATTCCTCCGCCCAATTTCTGGATGTGGCTAAATCTGCAACACAAGGACCTGTAAGCATGACAAAAAAAATTACCCTCTTAAATTAATATATATAATTATAATAATTGGATTACTGTAACTTTGATATTAAAATTACTACAATGAAATTATTACTATTGTTTTTTATAACATTATAAAAAAAAAAAACATTTAATACAGTAGAGTATCGATTATCCAACTCAATTGGGGACTGGGGTTGGTCAGATAACTGAAAAGTATGAAAAAATACATTATTAGTGTAGTATATTAGTATATCCCATGTAATTAGTATATAGCCATTAACCTATTTTGCGTTGAATTTTCATCGATGTTAAGCCTAATAAAATTTTTTTTAAAATAATAATTGTTGCTATTGTATTGTTAAAAATTATTTTAAAATTATTTTATTGCTCACAAAACAAACAACCACTCATAATTAGAAAATTAAGCCTCGTTTAAATACTGGCCATCCTTTCATGGTCGAGCCAGTGTTGCCAGCTAAAACATGCAAAAATTTAACAAAAATAATATTGCAGCCGCCAAGACAGCCAAATATCGTAGCGCCACATCACCAGCAGACATTTGAATTTACTGACTAGAACGCAGTCAGTTAACCGACGTGAAGGTTGATCGGGTTCAGATAACTGATGCTCTACTGTATTTGATTTGCCATTTCCCTGCCTAAAATTTCACACCCAGACCTCAACGATTTGCCTGCCTCAGAAAGATGGTCTAAGAATATCGTATTTCAAGGAGTTCCAAAATAAATTTCAATTAAAATGGCAAATAATATTTTTACAGTTTAAAAAAATATAGAAAAAATCAAGTTGTCTTCAATTCCGTCATGTCCAATCAACAGGAATAAAAACAATCTTCCATCACAGAAACGACTTTTTTTTAGAGGCTACACCTCTGCAAAATTTACATAATTTTGCATTTTACATATTTTAAATTCACATAATAAAGGTCAACTCCATGAAGGAAGACTTTGTTTCTGGTGATTGGAGATGACAGAATTGAGGTTTCTTCTAAATTATTTAAATTATGAAATAAACTTGAATGTCTGACTTTTGGTAGGTCTAAGAGTTTTATTCGTGGAGCGATTGGCACAAGGTAGGGTGCCACTATGTCATTAATCTGAATCCCAGCCAGTTGAAGTTACTTGGACTTAAGAATGCTAAATTTCCATTCCCTGGAACATATGCAAATTTGAAAAAAGCCTCATGGCACTGGGAGCAGGCAGATGCAAATGACCTATCAATATAAACAGACCCAGAGTACATTTGCTATACTGATGATTTTGTGTAGAATGACAAATTTTAAATGTGCTCATTGAATGTATTTTAAATAAATAAAACTTTTGATTTTGAAAGGTTCCTGCTAGTTGTTATTGAAGTAAAATAAAATGTAATTCAGCTTTTAACTTGAGACTGAAACTCTAAAACAGTGGTGGAAGACCTTTTCTGAACAAGCATGTGAGTAACTTTCTAGTCTTCTGGCATGCATTTTTTTCTCACAGTATTGGGCTTTAAACCTGCTGAGTACTGATATACTTCATAAGTGCCAATATACTAGACACTAAAATAGAAGCTAAACAAACTAGCAATACAAACAGTGCAAGCCCCAATTAACCGAGATTTTGTATTATCTGAGGTGATCCCATAAGTGAATACACTACTTTTCTTATAATTTAATTCATAAAAGAAAGTATAAAACAACATGTATTACAAAATGATTTGTTTATGTTACCTTTTATCATTTAATTTCAATGTGAAATAAATCATTCATATCGGAACACAACTACAATAATATGTATTTTCATTCTTAAAGTTATTGTACTTATTAGCTTTATAATAAATAATGTAAAAAATGTTGTTTTTTATACATGATTAAATACATTATAATATAAAAAGAGACTTAAAAGTGATACAGCATAGTATTATTAAAGAACAAATTGAGATACAATTAACAAAACTTCACAGAATTCATGAAATACTTTACCTTGCAACGGAGGATGACAAGGTTTCTCAATTTCTCTCATTTCTTGAAGCAAACTTTCCATATGAAACATTCTAGGAACATTTCTTTGACATGCATGATCTTGTGCTTCAAAAATAAATTCTTGCACAAGCTGGAAGAAATTTTTATTTTTGCTTAAATATCATATATCTTTAATTAAATAGGAATTGATAAATTAAAATCAATGAGCTATTTTTATATTTTTGCCTCGTTTTAAATTACAATAACATTTAATTTGTTATAGCAGTTGTTAAAAATTCTCTGTCTAATTTTATTTTGATAACTAATATTGATAAATATTCTCAATAAATGGTCACCTGACATTTTCTTCTGGCCCACTGCACATGTGCATCTACCTTTAATTTTTCTTTTCTATCAACTAATTTTATGTCTATTACTAATTTAAAGTAACATGGCAGTTATCTTAAGATAACTTCCATGTTACTTTAAATTGATTGTATTTTAAATAAATAAAACTGTTGATTTTGAAAGGTTCCTGCTAGTTACTGAATTAAAACAAAATGTAATTCAGCTTTCAACTTGAGACAAACTCTAAAACAGTGATGAAAGACCTTTTCTGAACAAAGACTTAACATTTGCAGTTATCCTAAGATAACTGCCATGTTACTTTAAATTACAAATTAATAATTAAAGAATCAATAATTAAGAAACAATCATTGAAAATTGTTTGCCAATATTCTTTTAAGTATTTTTAATTTATGAACATTTATGTTCACATGAGATTTTTCCATTTTTATGAAAGCGATACACAAACTAGAAAAAAATCGGGAACCATTAATGTAAATGGATGAAAAATTTAAAATGCTTTTAATAACAATTTGATTTTAAAAATGTAGTTAAATATTCAAAATAATAGAAATAATAGTGGCATACCAGTTTCATTTGAAAATGCCATCCAGTAGGAAAACCTAAATATCTCATAAAAAATTTAAAATGGTCTTTAATCCTCTTCAACAATGAGCCAAATCATAATATTTTAAAACTAGTTTGGCTAAATTATTTCTATTCAAAATTAAGAAATTTAAATAAAAAAAAATAAAAACTACAAAATATCTTTACAACTTTAATCTGATATTCTAAACATTCAAATCAAACATAACATTAATGAAATGTAGAATCTCTACAAAACTACTGGTATAATTAAGATAACCACAGCTAGGTGTGAATATCGATAAATCAGCAAAAAATAAAAGTAATAAAACAAAAACACACATTTTCTTCCATTTTAAATGGCCATCCTTGGGTTCAAAGAATGCAGATATAAATGAATGCACTTTTTAAAAAACAGAACAAATTTAAAAGCCAGAAATGTCATGAAAGATGCACATGTCTATTGCAGCATCTAACATCATGCTTCAATTCTGATAATGACATTAAATGCTGTAACAGACATGCACATATTTCATAGTGTTTCCAGCTTTTAAATTTATGCTCTATTTTTAAAAATGCATTTGTTTATATCTGCATTCTTTGAACCAAAGGATGACTGTTTAAAACGGAAAAAAATATTTGTTATTGTTTTATTACTTTTATTTTTTGCTGGTTTATTGGTATCCATGTCTAGCTGTGGTTATTTAACAAAATATAGCTCACAACTCCAAGTATAATTATGATAAAAGACATTATAATTGCCTTACAGTCCTTACTTCTAATTTATTTTTAACTGTCTACTTGAACATTACTCATTAATAGGACTTTACACTGGTGTTTAAAAATTGACACAACAATGAGAGTTAATTCAGAAAAAAACAAATTTTTTTTATTAAATCACCTGTAGTAGTAACTTTTTCTGTACACTTAAACGTGTTTCGGGCTAACATGCCCCTCATCAGCAGTATTACTATGAACCACTAAAAAACAATAATAAAATAAATAAGATATATTGTATATTAAGTATATAATAAATTCTCGACAATAAAATACATTTCTTTAAAAACTTATAGTAAATACTTGTCCTAATATCGTGTACAATTGTAATAAGGATGTACAGTACATCCTTTATTGTGCCACAGAAATTCTGTAATGCTGTTTGTAAACGTCATCAAGTCAGCAAAGTGTACAAATGGTTGATAGACTCACCTTATCTTAATGTCCTTAGCTGATGGCAAAAAGAACCTCGATGTAAGTTAAAAATTATTAAAAGTATTGGTTGATCTTGTAAGTTTTTAAAAAATTAATAATTTATTTTATTTATACAGAAAAATGCAGTTATGTAAATTTGTAATAAAAATTTTTGGAAATATAATCCAATTGTACATGATATCAGAACAAGTATTTACTGTAAGTTTTTAAAGAAATGTATTTTATTGGCGAGAATTTATTATATACTTAATATACAATATATCTTATTTATTTTATTATTGTTTTTTAGTGGTTCATAGTAATACTGCTGATGAGGGGCATGTTAGCCCGAAACACATTTAAGTGTACAGAAAAAGTTACTACATGTGATTTAATAAAAAAAATTTGTTTTTTTTCTGAATTAACGCTCATTGTTGTGTCAATTTTTAAACACCAGTGTAAAGTCCTATTAATGAGTAATGTCCAAGTAGACAATTAAAAATTAAATAATAAAAGACAAATTGAAGTGCTCAAATCATTCTTGATACATCTTATAAAAAAATTTTAAATTAAATAGACAAATAAACTTTATTTTTAATGAGTACAACTGATCATATATTTGAATATTAGTTTAAGTTATATAATGTAAAGATTATAGTGTTTGTTACATTATAGAAACAACATTTCATAAAACACTTACTTCATTTTCTGATGCCTCTGTTATTGATTTCTGGCAAGAAAAAAAATAATGTTTTAGTAATTAACTTAAAAAAATAGAATTACAAAATTTTATTTGAATATATTATATAATTAAATTGCTATTTACTTTAAGAGTAAAAGTATGCAATGAACATTCAATTAAGGCATACATAATTTGAAAACAAATACAAAAGTAATTTGGAGGTTTCTTACGGCATCCTTCTTACGCTACAGGGACACACAGATCAGCTGTGTTTGTCTTTGTGTCCCTTATCTCTCATTCTAGCTAAAATTCTGCACAGTTGCTTTTTAAAAAATTTTCTCCTACATTGAGAGGATATAAAAATTCATGTATTTAGCATTACAAAATTCTTGTGGCATAATAAGGATGTACAGTACATCCTTTATTGTGCCACAGAAATTCTGTAATGCTAAATATAGACTCCAAATTATATTTTTATTTGTTTTCAAATCACCTAGTTTTAATTCTTCTATTTATTACTTTAATTAGAAAATAATTGTTTTGATAATATGTCTTCTAATCAGATATTACCAAAGTTTTTAATTCATTTTTTTTAATTTAAAAACTTCTTTACCAACATAAATATTCTTAAATTAATTAAAAATCTACTAATGTGAGGTAGATAATAAAGACTTATCACACCAGTGATAATAGATATTCTTTTTTATACCATATCCTATATAAATATTAATTCACACATGTACACATATTTACAAGTATGCACAAGCATACATATTCATTCTGATGACAAATTTTATAAACTAAAATATCTATTAGGAATACTTACGAATGTTGAAACATTTGAATTTGTCTTCCTTAATCCTTCCTAAAAAGATAAAAGTTTTGAAAATAAATATGCTGAATATTAAAATTATAAAAACAATTAAATTTTTGAAATAATTGCATTCTTCATATAAATAATTTTAATAGAAACATATTTAAATTTTATGTTAAAATGCAGTTTTTCTACCAAAAGTAGCAATTTTCTATCAACAAGGTTTTGCACAAATGGACATTACAAATATGTATATCTGTATAGCTCTCATCTGATATCCACCACACAATTTATGGATATGAAAAAATACTGCTCAATAAAATAGATATTCGGCTATTTTTATATGTAATCAAAAATAATTCAAATAAAGATATATGTAGTTTGGTTGAGACGGTTATTTTTACATGTTATTAAATTCCTCTATAAGTAATACAAGATAAATTATAACAATGTGACCGAAGGGTCGGCACCTCTTTGGTGCCCTGTCAGGATGACACCACCGCGTCTCGGCAGACACGGAAGCCGCGTTATTTAGGTCACGCGAGCGGTCGCGTAACGGAGCGATCAGAGTCGAGATAGAAGGAGAGACAACGCACAGGAAGTGATTTACTCAGACGCTTTTTTAACGTAACAACTGTTTAATGGTTAACGATAGGATATACATTAGGGCTCTAGTATATAATAGTATTAAGATATTAAGATATTACGTTCCTTCCCGTTTTGAGAGAGAGAGTTTACAGAAGTTCGCGTGTCGATATTTACCTTGTATGAAATCCCAAAAGAAGACAGTTCCGGACTCAGAAAACAGAAGACCCAGTTATTAGGCGTGGAAATATCCAAAGGCGAAGAAATATCCAAGGGCAAAGAAATATCCAAAGGCGAGGCACAGGGATAACTGGAGTGGTCCGAACGAGGAACTGGTGACGACTCTCTCACTTTGTTGTCGTGTCTAATGTTGAATTGTTAAAATCGCGCTATTAGGTCGAAAGGTGCTGAGAAAGCGTCGTTATTACGCCTGAGAACTTAGCAGATGTTTAGCTCCCAGTTGTAAAAGTTGACAGTTATTAAACAAAAGTATAGCTGTACTGTGATCTTATGACACCGTGGAATGAAGGTAGAACTACAATGTGATATTATGATGAGATGATATAAACACATCCGAATTCGGAATCTCACAACAATCATCACTACAAATCATTACATACATTATTATTACTAGCAGAAAATCTTACAAATTATTATTAAGGATGAGATGATGGTCGAGTTAGCCGATTAACAATGAACAATTAATTAGAATTGTCCTTATTAATTAGAATTAGAACCTGTACTATTAATAACTACTTGTCATTGGAGGTTTTTTTTTAAATATTTCATAAATTTTTTAATTTTAGTTTTTTACCTTTTATAATAATAGTTTTGCTTAGTATCTGCTAAATAAATATATAAAAATTTATTTTATTATTTATTTCTGATTTAAAGTTGTATGAAAATATTGAAAAAATTTATGTAAATTATACTTGATCAAGTTGGATCACTACTATTGATTTTAGTAGTCAGAGATACAATCTGTACACAAAGGAAAGAAAGGCTTTCAATGTTTTTTTTTATTTTTTGTCCATTGCCACTGATTGATAATAAATGCTGCAATTCCTATTGGTTTGTTTGGTATACTAGCATGCATGTGGCACAGTTATACCACTGTAATGAAAAAGGAATTATAGTAGAAACTCAATTATCTGAAATGGTTAAAAATACTTGAATGTGTAGTATTTTACAGTTGAAGACAAAAGTAAATTGCCTTCTTGCCAATTGGCATGAAGATGATGTCATGGAATCAAATTTGATGTAAGGAAAAACCCAGATTAGCACAGTCAAATATCAACATTAGTACTAAAAACCTCAATCCACTTAGAACCTTTTTATCCAGTACTGTTTAATTAAACAATGTTTAAAGAAAAATGTTTTCAATCTAGGTGAGATCTTCCTTGGGTCAATGTAAAACGGAATGCATTTAAGAATGTTAACGAACTTCAAAAAAAACAAAACTTTCGAATACATAAAATACAAAAAATATTGCAGTATTCATGTAACCACAGGAAAAGTACAATAAAAATGTATAAAAATAAAAAATAAAAATCGATGTATCTGGTATATTTTTACAATGACTCCATCCTCTTATGTGCTTGTGTCATTGTTGATCCCTTGTACATATAGATGTACTAAAAGTTTGTATAAAGTTAATTTAATTTAATTGTGGCCTCCTGTAGCTAAGCTTTCCATATCTGGTCTCAACTTTCATCTATATAACTCCATTCTTGAGATTAAGGAAGGACAGACAGAGAAACGACAGTGGTAATTTATAGGTCCACAATTTTTTCAAATTTCAGCCCAATAAAATCAGAAAATAAATAGATGACAAGACTGTCTAAATTAAAGTGTGTTTATTTAACTGTTAATTGGGAATTAAATATAAATTACAGACTTCTTGAAATTAATATAAAATACTGTAATTACCTGTTGCAAACCTCTGTCTCTTGTAAGATGGTCAGTTATCTTAAACAGAGGATTAGCACTGCCACACTCTCCTTCGATCAAATCTCGCATTGCCATGATTGAGATTTTCGGTTAAATATAAAACCTTTGTTAATCCTTCAGTTTAAATAATTTCATATTTTTAAATTTGGTCAACATTAGTATTGTTCTAGAATAAAAGAATAATCCTGTTAAATAAAATAAAATAAAATAAAATTTGCATAAAAATTTATGTTACATCTGTTGTTATATATAAACTTATTTGTATATTGAAATTCTTATATCTAAATTACAATTACAGTTTGGTCAAGCTTCAAATTAAGACTCTTATTAAAAGTTCATATATTGCCCAAAATGGTTAAGTATATCGTAAGATGATAATTGATTTTGTTGTAAAAGAAATCAAATTATTCTGGATTTCAATTCACAAAGCAGACTTACCACAACATATATAGTAAACTACAATACAGTACATCATCATAACATTACTTGTAAACCGTTATATTTATGATGTTATGACAAAATCACATCTAAACAGAAAATGCATCTTTTCCATCCTCTCTATCTAGTGTAGCATTTACCACAAGTACCACCAGGTCTTGAGGTTAGTCCATACTTCGGGAGAATGGCAAAGATAAGAGAATGTGTGTCTTTTCTATTATTGTCTTTCCTTAAGTGATTATACTTCAAAACAATGAAAGCGAAACATGCATGCATTTTTGATACCTAAGTTTAAAACAGCTTTGAAAGAATACCCGAGTTGTAAAAGTTGTTAAAAAAAATGAGAGTACGTGTGGTTAATTAATTTACATAAACAATCCATAAACCCAATTTTTACATAATGTTAAACAATCTGTCATATTTATTAGTCAATAATAAGGCTAACAATAATTACATGTAAATAATTTGACGAGAGATAGGAGGTTAGGCTGTCATCTCATGATAATTTTAATAATTATAATAAATTAATTTTAGAAGAAAACAAATCAGAATGTTACCACCTTACCACCTTATAAAATTAAGGATGGTGATCCCAAAGTATATTTGTAATATTTTAGATAAGTTTAAAATACAGGGTGATTCAACACTCAAGGGCCAAACAAGGGGTGATAGAGCACATAACAAAAAACATTTTTTGTATAGGAATGTGATGAAATGGGGCACAAACACAAGAAATAACACATGAAAACAAACAAATTGTTTCCTTACAGCATCGTTGACAAGTGTGTCTTTACAGCAATGTTTACAGTAATTGCTCAAAATTGCATCCTTAGTATAGTTTCAAAGATGCTGGGTATTTCTCGCACACATGCAGCTGCAACAGACATTCAAATGACAAAGTCCTCAACAGAGTCAACTGGATTTTTGGAAATGAAGGTCTTCAAATGTCCCCATAGGAAGTAATCGAGGCTCAATAAATCAGGTGATTGGGTGGCCAATGGACTGGTCCACCATGGCCAATCCATTGTGCCCCAAAAGTGGCATCCGGGTAATTGCATACATCAATGCTGAAATGGGCTGGTACCCCATCATGCTGAAACCACAGTCTAGAATGAAATAGAATGAATCAAGCAAGTCTGTTGGAAAAACTGGCAAAATCCTGTTGTGGAAGCCTAGTTGGCATAATTAGTAATGTCTGCATAGCAAGTAGGAATTTCAGTTTTAAGTATGGATCCAAGCCAAATCTTTTTTTAAATTTCTCTAAATTAATTCATTTCTAATTATTAAATTTGGTATAAAATAGCATGTAACACTTCTACATTAATTAATGATTGTTTAAAAATAGTCAGACATTTTAATTTTGGTGATTCTTCAGCTATTTCTGTTCTTTCCACACTTTTCTCCCCACAAAAAAAAAATAATATAACAATTATTTAAAAACAACCAGATATTGCAAGTATATAGCTGACATAAGCAGGCAAAGACTATGATTCTAGCTGCGCCCATTAAATCCAAGTTCTATTGTATTAATAAGACAAGTGCAACAGAGTTAAATATTCTTCAACTGTTGACATGTCTGATTTATCTTGAACAACTTTCAATCTTTTATAAGACCAAAACAAATTTTTGAAATTAAAAAGTTGAGTTAAATTGGACCATCCTACTTGTTTATCTTATGTTGTCATGGAAGTTCATTAACAATTTGGCTAATGTTTCTTTTAATTAAAGCAGTTATTGTCATCCAATTGGCTGAATAATTTAACTTCAAAATTTCCCAACAATTTAGAGTTAAATGAAGTTAAATAAAAAGCATTTTCTTTTAATTTATACAATCCATGTAATTTCAACCACAAATAATTAAATAGATAAAATTGTAAGCTTTAAAAAATATATAGTATTAAAAAATTGAAGCATACTGTAGTATTATTTTGTACATAAAAGAAAATGATACTTAATGAGAAACCTCTCTATATTTTTGTCATTCAAAAATTTAAAGCTATTGCTGATAACTTTATTGGAACATGACAATAAGCAATGATTAGAATCCTTAAATACACAAAAAATACCATTTAATCACAAGATATTGAAATATTGTATTTGTCAATAATGAACAAATTTTCATTAAGTCCAACTCCACTCGAGATACAACACACAATCCCTCTCTAACTCCCCCCTCCTTCGACCTTAAACCACCAAAATTTAATGGCATTGATGTCCCTTGTGTATGAGTTACCATGTCAAATTTCATTTCTTAATCTTTACTCCATCCTGAGATATTAAATGAAACAGACACCAAAAAAACACGTAAACGGAACTCCCCCTTTATTTTACTTTTTTGGCTTCGGGGGTTTCAAAATGTCGGATTTGCAAACAATGTGAAGGACAAACTTGACACAATTACTTTCCCATGTTATAATGGCTGGAAAGTAAAATGATCTGCAAACAGAATTACCAGATATTTCTGTAAATAAGTCTACAGGCTCATTCTTGAAGGAATAGAATTACTTTTAGCACCACAGTTTTCAGAGTTGCAAATAATAATAATAATCAAACTGGAAAAACGTTTTGAAGTTTCCTTCTACTATCCTAATAAATATCAATAAACAATCTATTTTAAGTAGTTTTGAAACCTATGGAATAATAGAAAATAAATACATGTTCTTGAGAAAAATTCAACACTAAATTTAGATCAACCAGTAATTGGAAATGATATATCTGAAAAATCCGAAAATTAGAAAACAACAGAAAAGATAAAAAATATCAAGGTATCAGACAGGTTATCAAGAATTGATATTGAAAAAACTGATTAGTAATTTTTCTTAAACTAGAAATAAATATTAACATCAGAGTAGATAAATTACCCAACTTCATTGCCTGTAACTGATGTTCTTCTTCTCCAAAGCAAAGTCCTCTGCTTTGGAGAAGAAGAACACCGGTTACAGGCAGTGAAGTTGGGTAATTTTTCTTAAATAAATTTCAAAAAAATATGGCCAAGCTTATTTTTTGCAGTCAGTAGCAATTCATTTTGCAAGCAAGCACAGAATTTATTTATGGAATAAAAGTAGTAATACAAATACAAACATCTTAAAGCCTAATAACTATATTAAAGTCAAAGATTGCCAGATTAAATCAGGCTACATTACTACTACTGTTAATAATTAAATACAGAGTACTTTGAATGATCTGGAAACTGATTAACTCATTTCTCATTATTTATAACGGAGAAAATTGATTCAGACTTTGAATGGCCTCTTGAAACAAATTAAAATCAAAGTACAAAACACCACTGTGTGATAAAGAGCTAGAAATGGGGCAGAGAATTCCCACCATCATTACATAAAATAAGATTCCTCGCACATTTCCAAAAATCTCATCATCTGTGATGTTCTGTAGAAGAGAACCACATATCCACTATCTTTAATTTGGCAGACTGTGGCAACAGACAGTCTGCTGAAGTCCTTTTTCTTTCTATACACCTTCACTATAGAGATGTCACCAAGTTTAAAAGAAGTGTCCTCACCGATATAAATTAATACCAATAAGGAAACATACAAATAGATCTATTTAGCCACCTCATAGTTAGATTTCTTCAAATTTTAAACCACTCATATAAAAAAAAAAGTTGTACGGGATGAATATAAGCAGTTATTTTTGTTGTATTTCTACTATATTCACTCCACAAATTCAAAATCATTACATTGCAAAAGTGGGTCAATGATTATAAAAAAAGCATTCAAAATATGAGATATTTCAATGAAAATTGAATGAAATTGTTCTAAGACAATATCCTAGCAATTTTTTTTGATAAAGTGAATCTTGTAATACAACACACATGAACAAAGGACTGAGAATAAAAAAATATTCAGATATTTAAATATTTCTCTCACTATCTCAATGTAAAACAACTGTTCTACTTTTACATATTATTACTGAAATCAGTTTAATTAAATGCAATTCTACATATTTTCACGGTACAAGCATTTTTCCCCAAATAATTATCCTTTAAAACCTGATTTACATCTGTTTGAAGCAGAAGTTCAGTAGATAAAGACAACACTTATATTCTACTGTCAGATTAATATAATTTGTTCTGATGAGTAACAGTATGTTTTCATTTAATTATTATTTTAAATAGAATAACTTATCGCTACAGGTAAGAATATTGCACTCCACTAATGAGTAATAGATTATTTAATCAGTAATATTGTAACAATTACAATATTATGTTATAATACCTGAGAAAGTAACCTGTGTTATAACAGCCAGGAAAGTAAAGGAAGATAAATGAGAGATTCAGAAAGACTTATTAACCACAAAATAAAATATTCAAGTGTAAATGAATAAACTTCTAATTCAATTCTGTTGTTTTCATTCAATAAACACAATTATTTTTTTTTTAATGTTATTTTCATTTCATGCAATTTCTTATTTCCAAGATCATAGACAATATTAATAATACAGAAGAACAGTAACTGATGAATTAATTTAATTTAAATGACAGTTTTTATTAAATCATTACACAAAATATAATGATTAATGACATTCACACCTACTAATTTATATTTTTAAAAGTTCTTTTAATTGGTAAATTTATTGGATGAATTTCCTCTATGTCGTTTAAAGTAAAAAAAAATTATAATAGTCTAGTATTAGAAATGAAAATAAGAATTTTGCTTATGTAAAACTTAATATTCTAGCAACATTAGACTCAATCATGGTTCAATAAAT